TTGAAATAAATTCCAAATATTGAATTGTACTGTTAAAGTACCGTATATTAGCCCAACAGAGAAAATATAGCTGTAATGGTGTAACTCCAGTCAATCAGTTGGCGAATATAGCCAATGACAAAGTCACATCTCACGTGCTTAATGCTACACAGCTTTCACTGGTAACACGTTGACAAAACCTACTGTAATAATTAAACTACTACAATACATCAAACATTGTTAAAATTAAATAAAAATATATGTTTATGTTAAATTTTGCGCATATTTAATAATTTATACGATTCGGCTTCGCTGCAACATATGTATTTTTCTACATTTAATTGTATTTTCAATTATTAATTTCTAAGTTTTTTAACTATGTTTTAATGTTTCTAGATACTGCACCTAATCTGTCCAATTACAGGTGAGGAAGAAATCTTATTTATATAAAATCTTTTTATTTATTTTTATTATTATTATGTTTGATACTAAAACCGTTTTACGGACCGTATATTTATCTTTGTTATTAATATTTTGTTCTTATATGAACATCATTTACTAACCTGATTCGTTCAAGTTTTTGCTTTTCCTCTTCAGTATAGTTCGGTAGTTGGGATTTTGTGTAAGCTATGTAGCCAATAATTACCAACTGTACGACGACAGTCTTGGAGAGAAAATACATTTCATTATTTGATATGGTAAAGGTAGCTGATCAAGGAATTGAAAATAAAAAGCTCAAGAGACTTCAATTTTTATTTTCCCCATGCTGTTACCATTCCCTTTACCTCAATACCCGTTTCAGCAATAGCTCTGACGCGTTGAGGAACCTCACTTTGCACTGACCTTAACTGACAATCAAACTCAATATCAAAAGAGAGAGCCGAACTGTTAATTAATTTTCCAGCAAGTTGTCAATAAATCACATAGGCATACCTATGGACAGTATAGCTGACCTTGCATAGGCAGTAAATTACAAAAGCTATGATTATAATCCAATTAAAGAGCAATTACCAGAGAAAGGCCTAATGTCCCAAAAGATGATTGGAAATCAGGAAAATTTTTAAAGGGTAGAAACACCTCATGCATTTTTTATTTTCAAAATTTTAGAGGGGAGGGCAGATTCATGCTTTAGGTAGGCCTATAATATATTTTTACTGAAGGTCGTTCTTCCATTTATCGTCGGAAGCTTTTTCATAGGTTGCCCGGTGTAATTGTACTGAGTGTTAATAATAATACCGTAATAATTTATTCGGAAACTACACTTTTGAAACAGTGGCACACTTCACATGATAAATCCCCTGAGTGACCCTTATTCAATTAAAAACGAAGTAAACAAAACTTAAAACTAAAAATTCTAAAAGTAGTAAAGAAAAAAAAAACGACAAAGGAAAATGAATTAAACTTGAAAAACAAATACTGTACATAAAAATTTTAAAAACAACAAAGATGTTCAGAATACCGAACATCCCTGAGAAACAGCTGTAGACATTACCAGCATGACGACGCACACGGGAACTATGAAAGCCCAGATAGCAAGAGAGCTTGTATTCAACCAGCACCTAGAAGGGATGAGATAAAACAAATTATATAAATTAAAACAATTGTGTCTCTTCACCCAGGGTTAATTTGGAATGAGATTGGAACAAAATTGTGTGACTAAAATTATATTCCAAGAAGCAAGCGTTTGCTATAATGAGTGCTAAAGATTCAATTTACTTATCCGATGCGTAGTTATCCCTTGTTATACCAGCTGTCGTTCCGACGATAATGATGGGTCCAATCCAGGCAATGTAACGACTGTACACAAAAAGCCTTTCATGATCAGCAAACGGATGTTTGATCTTCATGTAAAGATCTGTTGACATGATCAACATCCACGAGAAAGCTGCCAAGAGGCTGTAGTGCAGGCATCCAGCAAGCAGACTACAGGTGATCTGCAAATACAGGATCCGTTATGTTCATCTATCTAAAATATTTATAACTTTGCTTGAATGACTGATACTGATTAATTTATTCACTGTTTTTATGGCTGATTGATTAATTTATTGATTGATTGATTTATTGTTTGATTGGTCGATCGATCAGACGTGGGTCGGATGACGATCGACTTGTCCGTTTCGAGTGTTAATACTGTAATAATGAAGTCATACCGTTGTATGTTTGAAATCAAATTCCAGGAACGAAAAAAACAAATTGACACAGAGTAGAGCGATGACCAGGTGACGCAAGATTCTGTAGCGATCTGAGTTTCTTAAATTTCTGAAATAAAATATGACATAAAATTTAAGTGTCATACTGATAGTAACACGGAAGAGCAGGCTGTTCCCACTTAAATATTTTCTCCTGGATAATTTCCACCTGATACTTGTCTTCCTGCCATTAGACAGTCATTCTCTTCCCAAAGAGTTGCCACTCAAAAATATGTGTTTATTTATCCATTTATACAAACAAATTAAAGGCATATATTTAAAATGAAAAATCTATACATAATATTCAAAGATAAGTGTCTGAGGGGCCGCACGGTAGAAAGTGCCTGGGGAAAAACAACCCCCAATCTATTTAGATAGGCTAGGTATTCAAGATTGGACTGGAATTGCATCGACGAAATAATTGTTGATAACCGGCATTTATATGAAATGTTACATTTTATATCATTTTGCATCGGAGGTTCGAAACATTACAATCTTAAAAACTGTTTTGGATGATATATATACCCATCAGTGTTGATAGTAAGATCTATTTCATTAATTGATGTCCTTATTTAATCAATGTCAACTTACTTGAAATTGCAGATGATAACTAGGGTGATGAGGAGAAAAACACTCGAAATTGTTACGCCAAACTTCGTAAGCACAGACAAGAACTTGTTTTCTTTTATCTATATAATATGTGAAATTTGAATGTTCACGTCATCAGAATGTGAAGACAAACAGTCATTGACAAGGAGCTCAAATTATCTATAGGCCCTACGTTTAATACATTTAATTTTTATTATATTACATTTAATTAATTTTTTAAATTCATACCGGTTTCGGTTTCATCAGAATGACAAATGACGTCAGGTGAGTACAAATACACTTCACGTTGCTCCAGTAGTCGTCGTCGTCATGGTAGAGAGTATTACACCCATCTATTAGCCACGTACTTGGGAATTAACAGCCACAATTGTGTTTGTTAATGTTATGAGAAATGTATAATCCAATTCTTTTACATTTTAAATATACAAAAAACTTAAAAGTTTATGTTTTTCCTTGTCCGTCACCATCGTCATTTTTATAGTCGTCGTTTTATCATCATCATCATCATCATCATCTGCATAATCATCATCATTATCATCATCATCAAGTTCATCATAATCAGCACCACCACCATCATCATCATCATATAAAATACACAATTTCGAACTATGTACTTAAATATAATCATTGTAGGCTAATTATTTTATTTATGAAATACTTAATATTGAACTATATTCTTACGCTGTTGTATTTTTACTTTGTGTGTAGTGGCATTCAGGAAATTGATTAAAACTCGCGTTGTTTCCTGTCTTCGCAATCTTTAATAATAATAAAAGAAAATATTTAAGTATGCCTGTCTTCGTAATCTTTAATAGTTTTGAAAGAAAGAAAAATATTCAAGTATAATTGGACGATATATTAATGTTACACGTTATCTTTCTTCCTTTAAATTTTAGTTTAGATTGTATTTACCTTAAGAGAAGGAAAGATGATCACAGAGTTGATACTTATTTTCGAACCGTTTTTATCGTAAATGTCGATATTTACGATGTCAGACGCACTTGGTAACAACTCTCCATTGCTGCGAAAAAAAATAATGGCTATAATGATATCACATCATAATCCTATATAGGCACATCATAATTATATGGACATATAACATTTTTTTGTCAAAGAATATTTGATAATATGTACACGACTTAAAATAATTAAACGTTTAGCTATTGTGTATTTGTCTCTGAAATAACTAACTGGAACTATTTATGATATAAACTTGATGGACGTTTTGAATAGCTTGTCCTTTTCTTCTTCATGAAAAGAAAAACTATATATTAACGTCAAAACATATGTTGCAATTTTTATCAATTATTGTTTAAACGTGTCTTACCCAGTTTTTAGATGTGTGTTTTCTGGGAGAACCGTCAGACTTGCAACAAGTTCGAATGGCCCGTCTATACCAAAGATAATGGTTTAATACTGAAAGCAATGTGGTAAGTGCCAGAAAAAAATGTTAAGCCTGGTACTCCTACGGTGCGTCGTACGGTGGTCGTACGGTGTTCGTGCGACGAATCCAGCTCCGCTCCCTATAAGCGCTAGACTAGCGACGCCGTCTTCTGATTGTTGGTGGCAGTCTGAATCTGAACGACGGATCTTTTAAAACAGTTGCAGTGTGTAGGCCTATCGAGTATAGGAGCACGTTTCCCCCCTCCCCCGTTTTTTGCACTAAATTTGGAGAAGTTCAATGCATATCAATGTTTGTATAGTGCTACTCACTTATCTATTCTGAAAAATAATGTTGTGCAATCAGTTTGAAAAATTCTCTTTAAAGACATAAGCCGGACACTTACTGTGTCGTACGACGAATTCAACAAAATCAGCCTTTGTGCTCGCGCCATGGCGTTCTCCATAGAATTGAGTCGGCCGCGACCATCTGGGCAGTCAACGCCCGGCTTTACAATTCGGAAAAAATACACAATTGACAATTTCACTTGTTCAAAGCATAAATTCTGTACTGAAACTATTATTAAAATGTAATATTCTACACACCTTCTTTTAATATGTTATCAGTTGAAGTCGAAAATATGACATCCGGTTCTAATGATAGAGGAATATTGGTTACTTCAGGTATATCGTCAATAGTAAATTGAACTGCAATGAAATGATAAGTAGAGCCTTTAATTTGTGACGACATCGATTAGATCATCAAATCCCGAAAAATATTACAAAAAGAATCTTAGCAAACCAACCAGGGATTAGATTACAATTCTCTATGCCTAATTTTTCAGGAATGTGTGTTTGATTGTTACGCACTCTTTACGAGGTGTCCCTGATCACAGATAGGGTTCAAATCCATCTCCAGCCCCAACATGTTTGAAGTAAATGTTATGCATACGCACCCCTAGATGCCCAAACATGACATACTCTTTCCGAAATGCAGTGTTTCCTAGGGGAAGATTCAGAGTGTCCCGTCGGTGTCCAGTGTCTCCCACCGCCATTGATAACTCCTTATTTATTTTATTTTATTTCAACAATATTTTGTGAGGGTGGCCCATCCAGCCACATCTGATCAATTGGGACCCTCAGTACATACAATAAAAAACAAAGTATACAAATTAAACTAGATCTTCAACATAAACAAATTAATTAAAATAAAACAGAAAATTTAAAAAAATCAGAAAAAAAAAGTTTGATTTGAGAAAAAACATTAAAACTTAAAATTAACAAAATGAAAAAAAATTGAGACAAACAGAAAAAAAAATCACATAATTATTTAATCAAGAGAATTAAAGATCAGGCTTAGTAGGAATGAGATCACCACCTTTACAACAATTGTTTTGATGCACTGACAAATTTGAGGAGCAAGGTAATGAAGAGCTTTGAACTAAGTGTTCTGCAATTTGGTATTTGTTTAATACACCATATAAGGTAACTTCAATCAATACCGTAAATAATTATCTCTCAATAAATCGACCAGGTATTCATTCAATCGATCAGTTAATCAATGTGTTATTCTATAGAGGAGACTAGAGTCCTATTTAAGCGAAACAACAATTTGAATCAATAAAAAAAAATACAACAAAACTTCAGAGAACATGATACGATTAGATGAATACTATAAAGCAAGATAACCCTTGACTTGTTGCGCCTTATCTATGTATATAGTCGATTCGCAGTTGTTGTTGTATAGGGTTGTTTTTCTTTTAATTGGGAAAGCAGATTGTGTAATATATGCTGCCGGAAAATATATAAAACATTGTAAAATCTGCCTCTTGCTTTTCCACTCCATCCGTCAAACGAGCCTCCATTTAGACCTCAGGTGGCAATTAAGCCCATCAATCGGGCTTCCACGTCTTCCAGATCGCTTCCAGAGTCCGCCGGCCAAAATTTGAAACATGGTCGATACGCTCGAGTCGGTCGCCCAGTCAGTTGGTCAGTTGGTCAGTCAGTCAGTCACTTAATGAACAGAAAAACAGTTTGTCACAAACAGCTGAGGCGGTCAGTCGGTCTATTATTCAACCTATCAATCACTTAGTGAACAAAAAAAAAAACGAAGAAAGTTGAACTGAGATGTCATTGCAAAAACAGCATATAAAAGAAAAATAATTATAGGAATACTGTGACGTTTTACCTTGAGTTGCCATGTTCGTTGAGCTCTGATTGATTGAAGCAGTAACTACAGAAATAAAATAATTTATTTTCTATGGTTTATATCGAAATATTATTCAAAGGTTCATAGGCCTAGTATTCCATTAAGTCAGTTTAATTCCTTTAAAGAATATTCATTATTATCTTCTGGAACCTTCTTTAATAACTTTATTTTTTAGGATTGAGACTCCGGAAAGTTCCATAGTTTTACACTTTTTCCAGCTCCTTCCTACTGTTGGATTTATGTTTTAATAATTGCATTTTAAAAATATGTTTATTGAAAAACAAATGGAATTACTTGGTAAGTAACCCTAGGAAACAGTGAAATAAAAAGTTCCCTGGTAACCCGGTGTACGTGTTTTTTATAAGAAACCCATCAATGCTCTAGAGATTAATATCCAAAAATGGCAGCGTTTTGTCCATTTATTTTGTACAAAGCACGGTTTCGGGAGATATCCTCTGATGTCCATGCAATATACATATTATCGATATATATTTGTATAGGCCCTAAGACATTATTGAACGCAGACTGTATAGCGAGATCAAGTTCATATATAGGTCTTTAATGGCTAATGTAGGCGCTAAATTATTACCCATAGCCAGACCAGATTTCTGTATGTAGCTACTGCAATCTATGAACCATGGAGGAAATATATTAATATATTTCCTCCATGTATGAACTATGTCACCAGTGAGGCATAGGCGTAATAGGGACATAAAATCAGAGTCACTATAGATGTTCCAATTCTGTCCGTGAAGGATTTGTTTTTTGAGAAGACATTTGAATTCTGAAACAAAAGTCTACCATTCCTCAATACCATGGTGACTTTAAAGACCCATTCCCGGCAAAATTTCACTAAAAACTGACTTTTTTTAAAAGAAAATATGCATTTGCATTACTCCAATTATTATAAATCATGGAAAAATATTGGCATGAATTTTAGTTTTACGCAAAGGAATAAAAAAAAAAGAGAAATACAGTCTATTTCTCATAAAATATTACCATTTTCTCGACGAATTCATCGTTACTAGGCAAATTCAAAGATTGTAGATCGCATCGCATCGCATCGCTGGAATACTATCGCTTTTATGTATACTTTATTTATACAGTCAATAAAGTGCGCCCTCTCTAATGAGAGTCGTTCGATTAGGCTGAGGTATGTTTGTTTAAGCATGGTTTAAGTGTCGAATTCTCAGTCAGAATCTCGACCTATCGCAAAATCAAACATGAAAAATTCATCCGCATTTATTTTTTGTGTGGAAAAAAAATTTTTCATTCATAGGAATGTCTAAATTCAGTTAAACTAACAATTCCGTATTATATTTGTAAATCTTTATAACATTATACAAAAATTAGATTTTTCTTAAGAACTGAAATTTTGCCGGGAATGGGGCTTTAAAACCGGAAAACTATAGATTTATGACTACTCTATACACACACGAAGCCCATGCACAGTCAGTGTATAACACCATGTGATAGTCATGGCCCTATAACACAAAAGAGAGGAATCCTCATTGGAGAGATCAATCGCGCGATAACAAGATATATATAACCTGTCTCTTATACACATCTAGATGTGTATAAGAGACAGGTATGATGCAGTTGGCACATAATGTCAAGTTGGTGATTGGGCAGAAAAACTTGGTATACGTACATACATCAGGCCTATTTTGCAGATGACATGTATATGTGTGGGTGCATGTATTTCTTCTCTACTTGTGAGTCTTCGAATTAAATGCATCGCTCTGCAGAACGTTACATATCCTAAATGGTAGTAAAGATATGGTTAAATGCCCATCCCTCTAATTATAAAAATAGATAAAACTAATGTGTTTAATATTTATAGAAAATAATACTTTTTTTTAAATTTTTTTTTTAACCAAATATCAAACTTACTCTCGCAGATGGATCCAGTTAATCTGGTATGTGCACGCCGTATCATGTTGACGTCAAATATTGTTCGGTTATTAAGGGTGACGTCTAAGTAAACACCTGCTGCATATTGAACGCGCACATTTGGTTCATTCTCTCCCCACATAAACCAATCCATCGGATCCCTTATCTTACCCGTTGTCCAAGTCCAGCTATTTTGTTCTTCTATTGGTTTGTTACTATCGCGCTTTAGTCCGATAAAGTAGTCATGACAAAAGCTATTTAAGATTTGGAATTTAAACCTCTTTTCTACAAATTTGAACTCTTCTTCAGATTCGAAACTTGCAAGATGACCTCCACTACCGACACACGTATCATTGTGGCGGACCCAAGGGCTATATCCACTCAGGCAATTAAATATGTAGCAGGATGATCCATACGTGACATTGCAATCCAGGGTTTGTGCTGTAAAATATGACGAATATGAAAGGTTTTAATCATTATGGGTATTCGGCTTGCTACTTAACAGCCACAAGCCTGGTTCTCACGAGAGCCCTAGTATCCGGATCGGGAGCTAACCGTCTCGTGAGAACCAGGCTTATGTTCTCACACGGCAGCTAACGGTTAGCAGGATCCAGATCCTGCTAACCGTTAGCTGCCGTGCGTCCATACGAGAAGATCCCGATCCTGATCCAAGAATAAGAAGAATAAGAAGAATAAGAAGAATAAGAAACTGGAAATTGTAAATGCGTACGTGTGATTAGTTGATGATAGAAACGCGCTCAACGTGCTAACCGATCCGGGGTTTGCTAACCGTTAGCTGTATCCGGATACCGCTAACGGTTAGCGCTAACTGATCGGGCTTTCTCACACAGGTTGCTAACGGTTAGCGCTAACGATTAGCTCCCGATCCGGATACTAGGGCTCTCGTGAGAACCAGGCTTTAGTCTGATTTTTTTTTTAAAGATGTACGCCTACTGTCTGTCTATAATGAACTAAAATACTTAAAACATTCAATTTCGTATTTGAACATTTAAATGAGCTATTCTATGTTTAGATTTATTTTTGTAGGTTGCTTCTAATTTCTGCTTGAACTTGACCTAAATGTTGGGGTCAATCAATCAATCAATTAATCAGTTGCTTCATTTGCATCAATCCATTACAGTACATGGTCATCGACACCGTACAATTTCTAACAATGCAGACTAGGAAGTCCCAAAAAGCTTAGCTTGTATTAATTTTGGTTCCTTAAATACAACTCATTAAATTATGTTATGTAAAATTAATTCATTATTCTACACATGTAGAAACGGTTGCGTTTCTGTAGAGTTTTGTAAGTGAAAATAGGTGGCGCACAGCGAAATGCCCAGTTGTCAGAACCACGCTAATGTTGCAATGAGGATTGTGTATGTATAATAATAGGAGCAAACGGTATATTATTCGACCGTTTCTAAAGTTATTGGTTAGAATCCTAACCAACGGATTAAATGCTAACCTGTTCAGGAGGTGATCGGATGTTGGCTGGTAAGGCCATGTAAAATAAAACAATCGGTCAGCATCCATCATGTAGTATCTATGTATTATTCATGGTAGGGAGGGAGGTTTTTTTGGTTTTTTTTGCATCGAACATGAAAAAAGAGTTTCGCAAGGAAAAACAGCAAAAAAAGAAGAATAAAACAACAGAGACCAAAATTACATACAAGCATCTATAGCAAGCAGAAACTTTACCTATGAATAACGGCGTCATAATGCAATTATCTCTATGTATTATCATGCACAATTCACTCCTCAACACAACAGACATCATGGATACCATATGTGGCTACAGTATAGGCCTATAGAACAACAGTAGAGCATAGAACTGCAAGTGGACTGGCTAGTGTGCGGACGGGTGGTAAACAAACCTATATTAAATTGAGTTTGTGAGTGTATTGTAAAAAAAAAATCGGGTCGGTGGCCTTTTTGATGGTAGGGAGGGGATGCTAACCAATTATTTTATTTTACATGGCCTAATTGACTGATCACACAGTATGCTAACCTGTTTGTAGGAAACACGGCAAAGTAGTAAGTCTTCATTTATTGCAGGCAAACCGTATTATGTAAGGCTTATTGTATTGAATGGTTCATAATAATGTTTTCAAGTTTCTAATGTGTTTCATGGTTATTTGATTACAGAATTGAATGAGATGTTACGATAAATGATATAGGTTACCATCGGATACTTTATCGTAATAAACGTCATAGAAATTTAACAGAGTTTCCTGCATCATTTGTTCAGTGTTTTGCGGCAATTCTTTACAACACAGCATTACATTACAATAGAGGACGATATTTTGCCAGCAAAGAATCTTAAAATGTTTAAATTTTGCAAGGCTTAGAGACTGCTTAATTTGATTTGGACGGTCAAGTCAATATTTAGGACCAGTTCTTGAAAAGTGTTAATCTGTAAAGGGGGAGATGTTTTGACAGCTGCTGACAAGCTGGTAATGCTTTAGTTATAAAAGCTGGGAGCTGGCACAACACCACAAGCTATACCCGCTAAATTAAGTTGCTTTTTTTTAGCTATATACACGAAAATACACGTAAAGTATGTTTAAAGACCAGGCTTCGGAGGAAAACAATTGTTGATATTGTAGAACTGATTTTTCTAAGACACAAAAAGCATATTTATCGAAAAACTCGGAATCGGTTAATGAGATACAGAATTTGTTGGTATTTAAAAACTGGAGGATAATGGGTGGTTACGAATCCTTTTCCCCCAGTTGTTAAATATTCAAAAATCTGTATCTCATTAACCGCTTCTGAGGTTTTCGGCAAATGCTTTAGTGTCTCAGAAAACAGTTCTACAACATATCAATTTTTTCCTTCGGAGCCTGGCTTCAAGGAAAAAAAAATAATGGTGCGTGGAAGTAAGAAACCACTTTATGAAGCATTTTCTGAAAAGAAAAAAAAAACTCAAGCGCCGTACCTGTGATCTTTTTTTTAAATCAATCGAATACGGCTTGTAGAAAGCTAAACACCTGAGCTTCTGTGGAGCATTTTTCCCCTCGATCCCACTGGGGACTTTTGCGGCTGCACACCAAGGACCCTGGGGGCTTGCCATCACCTCAATACCGGTGAATGAGGTACATTAGACGAGTAAAATATTATTTTAGTAAAGTAGATTGGATTTCTGATACACTCTGGTGAAGAGAAAAAATGTCGGAAAAATAGCTTGAGTTTAATTTTTAATTACTACTAGAAGGAAAGGAAAACGAGGCAGGCCCTTTAGCCAGGTTCTTCCAAGAGCTGTCTCTTATACGGGGGGGGTTTCTGGGTGTGAGGTCCACATTCGAAGCCCCGGTGGGGTCCGCGAAACCCCCAAAGCAAGAGGATATTTGTGCTTTATGGGTCTAAATAATGCTATAAAAGCTGAAATGTTCGAAAATGTCTGTGTCTGGGTGGGTCTGCAGTGCATTAGTTGGGGTTGGAGAACTTATTTGGAAAATTTACAGAGGGGGTTTCGCTAGAAAAGAGGGGGTTTTCTAGAAAATGGGGTTCTCCTGAACCATAAAAAATACCCCTGGATACGGGCCTGCGAGGCTCCAATTTTTTCAACCCTCCTAAAGTATTTCTGGACACTTCTTAACTTACCGTTGCAATTTCCAGCTTTGTACACAACATAAGATGTAGCAGCAAATACAACAATTGTACATTTCCAAAGCATCCCTTTGATGAGGTCACACATTAAAATCGGAGGTTTTTCTGAAGAATAAGTTTCACGAATAGTGACAAAGATAGTACATCTCTGTCTTCCAGTCTGTAAATACTTTAATCTATCAAGCATTACCTTAAAATATAATAAGACGTCATTGTTTAATAAGGCAATGCACATTTTAATAATCGCTTTTCTGCAACGGCACTACGACGAATAACCACGCTTCAAGGGCGCTATAAAACATGATTGATTGAACATGATTAAAAAATGTTAATATTTAATAAGCATTCGTAGTGTTGGGAACGAAAAAAAGGTGCACAAGACAGATAACAAGATTTACTTGCAACCTTCACGACATCAAGCTTGAGATAGGTGAAGTGGTACCGTAATACGCCCAACTAAAGTTGTTAAGAATATCGGCGTTTTTCTGGATGAACACTTAAAAATGAACAAAACTTTCACTTGAGAAAGAAATTTTACCGTATTAGACATTCAATTGATAGATGTACATGCATTAATGCTGTTCAATCTTTAGTCCTTAGCCGTATTGATTATAAATTTGTTATTTGGAGGAATGTCTTTCGATAATTTTAGGTCCCTACATTGTTTCGAAATTGGGCTGCACGTTTAGTTTTTCAAGTACCAAGCCGTACTGCGCCTCCACTTTAATTCGTAAATTTAACTGGCTTCGTGTGAAAGACAGGTGAGGTATGGGATTTTGATCCAGATGTATAACTGCGTTAACAAGCGCGCCCCTGTTTACTTGCAAGATCTGATTATTAAATATCAGCCTGACAGGAGTGGCATCAGGTCTGCTATGGACACCCTTAGACTGAAGGTTCCATTTACGAGAACCAAGGCTGGCAGTTCTTTTTCCGTCCTAGGACCCCAGTATTGGAATGAACTGCCGCCTTCCATCCGTAAATCATCTTCATCACAAATGTTCAAGAGTCAACTAAAGAATGTTCTCCTTGGAAAATGATGACAATACAATATGATTTGCTTAGGTCCCAAGTGTCCATAGCCGACTCGATTTATTTTTTCTGTTTAATGAAACATTGAAATTGTGATGATTGTTTGATTTGTTTTTTGATATTGTGATGTAGGCGCTTTGTAAAAAGGGCGCCATATAAATGAAATTTGAAAAAATCATTACATTTAAACGAATATATTAAATAAAAACTTAAATTTAAAAAAAATCAAAGCAATTGATACCATCAGAATTACATTGGAATTATTACGATATCCAGGTGAATTGATCAATCACATAAAAGTAGGCCTGTCTAACCAGGGAGTTGTGATCTATCCTTTATATGAAAAGTTTTAGTTCAAACTATTTGACGTCCGATATAACTCCGTTTGTTTCTTTTTTATTTCCTGTACATCCAACAGCAAGTACACTCGCCACTTACAGGATGATAATATAACCACGTTAACCTATCATAAATCAGTTTAAAAAAAGTGTATAACATTGAGAATATTGTTCAATGTTGATTAATGCAATTACATTATATTTTGATAATAATTATGATATAATTTGAAAACAATCGCAGAAGCAAAAACATTGGTGTACATGCGGATTGAAAGATGAGGTGTATATGGTTTGTGAATATCGTAAACGTCCCCTCAGAATCTCAGAATCGCTAATTGGACATCGCTGATAACTTCAGCACTTTCGTCCAATGTGTTTTGCTGCTTGTGTGCAACGTGTGCTCAAGTTTATTAAAGAGTATTTCATATTAGCTGAGAAATTTTTTTTTAACTTGCTTTAATTTTGATAATACCTATCTAGAGCTGATCTGAAAGTTGATACTTCATTAGCCTGGACGACCTCAGATGAAAGGTTTTTATTCCAATCATTTATTGTTTTGGGCAAGAAACTGTGTTTGTAATTTTGTGTGCGACACTGAATTGGGGTGTACTTATGTGCGTTCACATTTCTTTTTTTTCTTGACGATTTACTGACATACGTCGGAATATTTATAGCAATATTGTTTTGGATGGCTCGTTGAAATAACAATAACCTGAAATCAATAACCCAAACCCAAACAGTAACCCATAACCCAAACAATGAACCCCTGAAATCCATTTGTTCTTAAATGGGCGTCGTCAGAATAAATTAATTTTATTGTATGTAATCATAGTAGAATTAAATATGTATTGTAAATACAAAAAATAAATAGATAAATAAAAAATAATTATGCAATCCTCGAGGAAGAGAGAGAGAGTAATGTTTTAGATGACAGGAAAGAATTTTTAGTTTATGCCGGTGCACCGCGCGGTGGTGGCGCCTGCCAGTTGGAGATTAAGAGAGATCGAGAGAGAGGAGAGGAGGCGAGAGCGGCGGTATTTATGAATGACACATTGGAATGACATTGTTCATACTTTTTATTCATCATTGTTCATACAGTAAGATTACTACGATTTATTAAAGAAACCGTAAAAAATCACAATTAATTAACTAAAGATGTATCGAGTATCCAAAATTAATGTTAAGTTAGTCTATATTTTAAAGCTAGAATCTCAGAGAGGCCTAGCCTAGGCTACCCTACTGAATGACGAGAACCCCTGCCGTTGCTCCTTACGAACGAAGGCTGCCTATGCTAAGGGTAGGCTAGGTCAGGTGCTTTTTTAATGAAGGCGGTATCTCATCATTCTATAGATATTAACTATTGATGGTTATGAGAGTCAGACGTACTATCCATATAGCCTTGACGTTAGGCCTATCACGAAAGGCTGAAATGACAATGCCTAGGCCTAGCCTGGTGGCCCCATAGTCAAGTGTAGGTAGGCCCTATGTTACATACATAGTATGTATGTAGGCCCGGAAGGCCCTAGGCTAGGCCTAGTAGGTAGAGGCCTAGGCCTAGCCTATTGGTAGCCTAGGCCTAGTAGGAAATAGTACACTTTTTTTTTATAAGAACACATTTTAACACCGAGGCTGAAATTGCTTAAAAATTAAGAACAAAATAAGAACAAATTGAGGCTGCGGTAAAATGTCCAATGAGATTTTTATTTTTAAAAACTAGAAAAACCAAAAAATATATCTGTACCTTATGTGCAGTAGGTGTGACTATGTAATACCCTCTATAATACAGTACAGGAGGTGTATACAGTACCTACTTGTCATTTGGGGACATTTTTAGCGGGGCCTTTTTTCTGGGGAAGTTTTTTCAGTGGCCTTTTTATCGGGGCCAGTTTTTCCTGGGGCACTTTTACCTACATTCCAGTACAGTGTATAATGGTACAATAATACATTTGTATGTTTGAAAAATGTGTAACATAAGAACAAAATAAGAACAATGAATTCATTAATAAATGAATTAATGATAGAATGAATGACTACTGTATATGAATGAATTAATGTATAAATGAATGAACATATTGAATGAATTAATGCATTGAGTAATGCACTAGTCATCTGAAGTCCTGGCCGCCCTTGACCCGGACCTTTTGGGGACTTAGCCGGAGATGTAATGTAATTTACAAAATGGTTACGTGCATGTTAAAGTCCCGGCCACCTCCCGTTAATGCGGGCATCGTTTAAACATACATCCCCGACTAATTACCTACCGCCGGGAAATATTTTGTTGTCCCTTTAAAATGCCCAGCTAATAAATGATTGGATGATAAGGCTTACTGTAGCAAACATACAGAATGAAACAGTTTTAAGATCAAGCTAATCGATCTAGCCTATGTCTGAATCGGAGAAGCATGTGACAGCTAGGCCAAAGAAATGAGCTTGCTTGATGGAAGCACTGCGCATGCATATCACTAGGCAGATTTCCATGGAAGTTTGAAGAAGTGCATATTGATTGTTCATAGAAAAAGAGAACTGATTGATAGAATTTATTCTGTATCAAAACAGCATGTATTTATTTTTTTAAACTTGTTGAAATAATAATTTGTAAATAATGGAAATGTTTATTTAGATGAGAGTGAGTCAAAAGTAAAATAAGTATCATATTTGGTAAAGACAAGACAAGCCAAACTAATCACTCCTTGCAAAAAATATATTTTTAGTTATAAATGCATAATAAAATGAGAGCTATAAAATAGAATAGTAATAGAATAACTTAAAATCCAACATTTTTTTATGAAGTTACAGGAGTTTATACATACAGCTGTTTAAATAACAGTATTTCAGAAATCAGACTTCCAAGTTCATAATTTCGGGCATATCTCAGGTAGAGACAATCATCAAAATGTTAAAAAAATGTTGTTTTAACATTGAAAATGGTGAAAACAGGTTACAGTGTACGTAGTTTAGTGCAATGAAATTTCATTTAGTGAAATGAGATTTCGAAAAGTTAGCATTTCTTCCAGCATGTTTTGGCCATTATCTGTGAAACATGATTTGCAAGGAGTGAGTGGTTTGGCTTGTCTTTGGCAGTATGTAGAATACCAAGACAACAGGGTGTACCACAACAGGGTGTACCGTGCAAATGTATTTATTGTCTATTAATTTAAAATTTACTGAAAAATACATGACACTATTCATTGCAACGATATTAAGAAAAGTTTAAACACATGTGATGTGATGGTAAGATGTGATATATGTGTTGTGTATTTAGTATGTAATTGTATCAATACATATTTTTTTTTTTATCTGTGAACAAACAACCTGAATTTCAAACAGTACAGTATACTGTATATTACAGTGTTTGACAATAAGATTGAATTGAATTTAACAGCAAATCATTTAACCAAATTATGAAAATTGCAATAAGAATCTAAACTCTGATTTTTGTTTACATTTAATATTTACATAAAAATAGCAGCTTTTTTTCATTTCATGGTGCTTTGAACCTGAAATATTTATCTTGTAATAATCATCATCATCATCTTCTTCATTGTCATCATCTTCATCATCATCACTATCAACATCATCATCTTTTTCTTCTCCTTTTTCTCCTCATTCTCCTTTTCTTCATCATTCTCTTCATATCATCGTTATCATATCCATCTTCATCTCCATCGCCATCACCATCATCTTCATCATCTTTCTATCCTCCATCATCTTGTGACCTTGCGTGTGATACCAATTATTACAATTTAACTTTACGCTATATTAATTGCAGATTTTTTTTTCTTCAATTCAAAATATCCGTGCAAATGTATTTATTGTCTATTAATTTAAAATTTACTGACAAATACATGGCACTATTCATTGCAACGATATTAAGAAAAGTTTAAACACATGTGATGTGATGGTAAGATGTGATATATGTGTTGTGTATTTAGTATGTAATTGTATCAATACATATTTTTTTTTTAATCTGTGAACAAACAACCTGAATTTCAAACAGTACAGTATACTCTATATTACAGTGTTTGACAATGAAGATCGAATTGAATTTAACAGCAAATCATTTAACCAAATTATGAAAATTGCAATAAGAATCTAAACTCTGATTTTTGTTTACATTTAATATTTACATAAAAATAGCAGCTTTTTTTCATTTCATGGTGCTTTGAACCTGAAATATTTATCTTGTAATAATCATCATCATCATCTTCTTCATTGTCATCATCTTCATCATCATCACTATCAACATCATCATCTTTTTCTTCTACTTTTTCTCCTCATTCTCCTTTTCTTCATCATTCTCTTCATCATCATCATCATCGTTATCATATCCATCTTCATCTCCATCGCCATCACCATCATCTTCATCATCTTTCTATCCTCCATCATCTTGTGACCTTGCGTGTGATACCAATTATTGCAATTTAACTTCACGCTATATTAATTGCAGATTTTTTTTCCTTCAATTCAAAATATTGATAAATGACTTCCAACATTTATACATTATTCCTTATAATAGACTATAGTTGCATTAATTATTTATATGGTTGCCATATCAACAAGTAAACAATTTGTTTTGGTTTTTTTTTTTTTTTCAATTCATGTGGCG